GGTTTTTATTTTTTTTCTGATTTTGTTTGTCAATGAAATAAATTTATAATTGTTGTATTAAAAAAAGTTTATGTATAGGAGCATTTGGTGTCGAGATTAAATTTCCGTGACATCAGCTGATGGCGATCGGGCCCTGTGACGAAATTCGAAGTCAGCATGAAGTTTAGCTGATAACATTATCAACGCGTTAGATTTAAACTTTAGGAAGAAATGTATAGCGAGAAATATCATATTTGAACCCAATGCTACACGAAAACCAGTAGGCATTTCCGATTTATGTGTTAAATTGAAGCCTGAATCGAACAGGTGGTCAAAATGGCGTTGGACACCTTGTGTATTTATATATAGAGGGGGTAGAATGTTTCGATATTTGGCTAATTTAGAGACTTACTGATAAAATTTCAGGTGCCTGTGATTAATCATAAGGCACCCCTCATGAACAATAAATATTTCACCGAATTATGCTACTGGGCACAGGGAGGACGGGTTAATTACTGGCTAAAGGGGTTGAAGGTTATTACCGACTGCAAAACATCGGAGAATCTCTCGATCGAGTTTCATTTTCCAAAATATTAAGGCATCCCTTTAATTAACTTAAGTAATACTAGTACACGAAGAAAGCCTTTATATAAAAATACTGAATACACCTGTAAGTTGTACAGTTATAGATTACTTCCATAATGAAACGTTTGTTTTCTTCTTTTTTTTCTCAATTGAAATTATTTAAAAGATGATAAAAGCTTTGTTTCCAGGGATAAATTCTGTACTCAGTCTAATTAATACAAACGATTTTAAACGATCACATTTTTATTTAAAAAAAAATAATGGGACCCTGAAAATACTAAAATTAATTTTAAAAAATTGGAAAAAAAATTTAATCGGCATTCGATCCTCTTCTAAAAATCAGCCGATATAAAATATGCACAGAAAAAAGAGGCATGAAAAAATCTTGACGATAAGCACAAATTGAAAATTATATCTAATGAATGATTATTTTTGAAAGTTTGCTAAATTCCTATGCAAGGTATAAGTTGTAAAAATACTTTTTAAATTTGAATTTGTCCAATTTGTTAATTATCATTTTGAGCCTTGAGAAGAAATAAAAATTAAAATACAGATGCTTATAGACATATTGATAGAAATTCGCATACTTGTTTTTAGTAAAAAACAATGTATTGCTTATGCGACATATTGAAGAAAGTGACAATGATACCTAGGTAATTCTTGCAATGGACAATTAAATTGTTTGTTATACACTGACTTTTAGTGAACCTTTGAATTTTTTTTAAATACTAGTATTGATGAATTAAACAACAACTTTCCTTTTCACACGTTTTTTTTTTGTTTTGTTTTGTTTTGTTTTGTTTTGTTTTTTACAATATTTCATGAAAATATTTGCCAAATACTCAGTATATGTTCGTTTATACATGTCGTGCAAGACTCTTTTTTAAATAATTGTCATATACCATTTACTTATTCGAACATTTAATTGTATGAAAAGTCAATAATGTACATTTCTTAAAACTTTATTATCTTGTTTACTTGTCTTTCTTCCTGTGAGAGAAATAGTTCATAATATTAATAAACAGATGTACTCAGTATCTGTATCAAAATACAGAATGAACAGTGATCGGTCTCAAAAGAAAAACGGATCCTTGAAAGTTCCGGTGCCTAGGAGAAGTAAGCATCCCCAATGACAGGTCACACCTGCTGACCCGCAGTAAGCCTACGAAACTGAAGCTCTGAAATTAATTAATTCTCTGCTCGTCCATCCGTTTTTCTCAGACTAGCCAGCTAAAGATCTATGTACAGTACTCCAAATCAATTAATCTAAAGAATTTGAATTATCATTTTATTTTCTTTTTGAGTTGTTTGCTATAGTAGCCTTTACAGTTACCTAATTTCAGAATCAATAGAGCATGAAAGCCAATTAAATTTGCAACATCAACATAATTTTTTTTTCGTTCTGAGCACTTTTGGACGCCACCAATGGAGACAATTAGGGAGAAATTTTTGAAATTGAACTTCCTGTATTTTGAAACAAACATTTGTGATATCAGTCTGGGATGTTATTGGTTATACCATTTAGTTAAGTACTACAAAATTCAGTGTGTCTGCTTCTTTGCTGATGACACTGGAAAAAGATATGCATGCCTACTTTAATATCATCATTCAATGCATTTTTTGTTATTGTACACTGTACATATTCGATGAAAGCATGCTAACCGCTTTTCAGTACTTTCAGTACTTTGATTATAGGTATGCAATCATTAATCATCTTAATGATATTTAATGCCTTTTCAGCTTAAACTAAGCCGTTTCACTTTTCAGAAATTTACAGGGCCTAAAAAAGCCCTAATTGAACATTGTTTTTTGCTGTGGCATATCAAGATGCAAAATCACTCTCAAGTTTACAACAGTTGTAAACTGTAACCAGAAGTCTCTGTCGAGACTGTAGCTCTGCTGGTTTGTACTTATAACAAAGGATGAGAAAAGAAGCCATTGCCATCAGACCCAAAACTGTAGAAGGAGTAGCGTTTTAAAGGAATTTCACAGACATTTCTATATTTAGTAACAATGGCAACACTGTTCATCGAAATCAAAATCGGATGCACTCTTTTATGTTTCTAAGTGTAGTCTACTTGTGTTCCAAGTGATATTGAAATCAGACCAAAACTGTAGGAGTGGTAGCGTTTTAAAGGAATTTCACAGAAAATTCTAGTTTTAGTAACCATGGCAACACCGTTCATCGTAGGAAATCAAAAACCTATGCATTATTTTATGTATCTTAATGTAGTCTACTTGTGTGCCAAGTAATATTGAAATCAGATAAAAACTGTAGAAGGAGTAGCATTTTAAAGGAATTTCACAAAAAATACTATTTTTAGTAACCATGGCAACACCATTCATCGAAATCGAAATCCAATGCACTATTTTATGTATCTTAGTGTAATCTACTTGTGTGCCAAGTTATACTGAAATCAGATCAAAACTGTCGGAGGAGTAGCATTTTAAAGAATTTTCAAAGAAAATTCTATTTGTAGTAACCATGGCAACACCGTTCATCAAAATGAAAAACCGATGCACTATTTTATGTATCTTGGTATAGTCTACTTGTGTGCCAAGTTATATTGAAATCAGACCAAAACTGAAGAAGGAGTAGCGTTTTAAAGGAATTTCACAGAAAATTCTATTTTTAGTAACCATGGCAACACGTTCATTGAAATCAAAAACCGATGCACTATTTTATGTATCTTAGTGTAGTCTACTTGTGTGCCAAGTTATATTGAAATCAGATCAAAACTGTAGGAGGAGTAGCGTTTTGAAAAATTGTTTACAGACAGACGGACAGCTAGACAGATGGACGGACAACGGACACCTTACTATCGCATAAGCTCTTCTGGTCTCTGACCAGTAGAGCTAATAAAATCAAAAATCAATGCACTATTTTATGTATCTTAGTGTAGTCTACTTGTGTGCCAAGTTATATTAAAATCAGACCAAAACTGTAGAAGGAGTAGCATTTTAAAGGAATTTCACAGAGGAGTAGCATTTTAAAGGAATTTTACAGAAGATTCTTTTTTTAGTAACCATGGGAACACCGTTCATCAAAATCAAAAACCGATGCACTATTTTATGTATCTTAGTGTAGGCTACTTGTGTGCCAAATTATATTGAAATCAGATCAAAACTGTAGGAGGAGTAGCATTTTAAAGGAATTTCACAGAAAATTCTATTTTTAGCAACCATGGCAACACCGTTCATTGAAATCAAAAATCGATGCAGCACTTTATGTATCTTAGTGTAGTCTACTTGTGGGCCATATACATGTAATATTGAAATCAGACCAAAACTGTAGAAGGAGTAGCCTTTTAAAGGAATTTCACAGAAAATTCTATTTTTAGTAACCATGGCAACATCTTTCAATAAAATCAAAAATGGATGCACTATTTTATGTATCTTAGTGTAGTCTACTTGTGTGCCAAGTTATATTGAAATCAGATCAAAACTGTAGAAGGAGTAGCATTTTAAAGGAATTTCACAGAGAAGTAGCGTTTTGAAAGAATTTCACAGAAAATTCTATTTGTAGTAACCATGGCAACACCATTCATTGAAATCAAAAACCGATGCACTACTTTATGTTTCTTAGTGTAGTCTACTTGTGTTCCAAGTAATATTGAAATCAGACCAAAACTGTAGAAGGAGTAGCATTTTAAAGGAATTTTACAGAAGATTCTTTTTTTAGCAACCATGGGAACACTGTTCACCAAAATCAAAAACCGATGCACTATTTTATGTATCTTAGTGTAGGCTACTCGTGTGACAAATTATACTGAAATCAGATCAAAACTGTAGGAGGAGTAGCATTTTAAAGGAATTTCACAGAAAATTCTATTTTTAGTAACCATGAAAATACCGTTCATTGAAATCAAAAATCGATGCAGCATTTTATGTATCTTAGTGTAGTCTACTTGTGTGCCAAGTAATATTGAAATCAGACCAAAACTGTAGAAGGAGTAGCGTTTTAAAGGAATTTCACAGAAATTTCTATTTTTAGTAACCATGGCAACACCGTTCATCGAAATCAAACACCGATGCACTAAATTATGTACCTTAGTGTAGTCTACTTGTGTGCCAAGTAATAGATCAAAACTGTAGGAGGAGTAGCATTTTAGATGAATTTCACAGAAAATTCTATTTTAAGTAACCATGGCAACACCGTTTATTGAAATCAAAATCCAATGCGCTATTTCATGTATCTTAGTGCAATCTACTTTTGTGCCAAGTTATATTAAAATTAGATCAAAACTGTAGGAGGAGTAGCATTTTGAAAAATTGTTTACAGACAGACGGACAGCAAGACAGACAGAGGGACAGACAACGGACACCTTACAATCGCTTAAGCTCTTCTGGTCTCTGACCAGTAGAGCTAAAAATCAGTTATTGATGAACAGCTGTGGAAGTTTCTAATGTACATTTATACAGAAGCTGACCCAAAATCAAATTAATGAAATAATTTATTATTCAAATAATTATATACATAAGAACATGTGAACACTGTAAACATTTTATTGTCACAGGGACAAAAATTCAATTTATAAACATTTATCGATTAATACAGGGACAAAAAATATCACATAGTGAATATCTCACTGTGGCTCAAATTAAAATATACAGTGTACTGAACACTTCTGACCACAAATAAAATATAAATTAACTAACTTAACAAAAAGTTATAACATTTACAACAACCTGACAATGGACTTTTGCGAGAGGAACTGACTTTTACAATTGACGGTTTACTTCGGCATTTAAACCTGTATCATGTACAGAGAGGTTCAAAATTGATAATAGTAAAGAAAACCAAAACTTGTTAGTACCCCTAACATCGTACCTATGACCAATAGAAAATTGATCATAGGTACGGTGTCAGGGGCATTAAGAAGTGAAGGCCAGGAGTTGATGGTAGGGTGGTTGTAGTTTTTCTTCAAGAGCAACTTTTTTTTGCTTTGATATAACCCTTATTTTAATTTATTTAAATGTTGAGTTAGATATTTATTTCATAAAAGAGCTTCTGTACATTGTCCTGGTGTAAAAGTAAGCCATCAACTGTAAAAGTCAGCACTCTCGTAGAAGTCCAATAGAGACAGGACTGTGTTAGAACTTGTACACAATGGACTGTTTTCAGGACTTGTACACCCTGTGTAACTTCCTGACTCTCTGGTTACAAATTGGACATTTTCTGAGCTGGTTAGCACACTGGTGACAGGCACACATATGTCCACATGGCTCCATCATTACATTCATCTCCTGGTCCATACAGATCTTACATTGCTTCTCCTCCAGTAGTCTCAGGTTCTCACGATACAGGTTCTCTGCTTCTGAAACATGGTCAAATGTTAGCACAGATACAACTCTTTTTAAGACCAAGATATAGGTTGTCAGGAGTTTAAAAAATCTGTTCATTCCCAACTAGCAAGAAATTCAAATCTGATTCCCACCATGACAAAATCAGATTTATTTTCATCTAGTAGCTAAAATTTTGAAGCCAAAGTTGGGATTTTTACATACGGTAGGTCTATTCCCATCGAGCCAAAATTTGATTTCCTTTTTCCAAACTCACCAATTTTGGGATTTTCACAGATTTTTTCCAACCTAGCCAAAATTTTAAATTCTTTTTTCGCATTTACATGTAGTTTAAATTAAGAATTTCACACAGGTTTATTTTAAACTAGCCAAAAATTGGGATTTTCACACTTGAGTGGTCACTTTTGTAGGCTTATTACATGTACCAGCTGTACCTGTTATTGTTACCTATCAATGTACATTTCATAAATTAATATTTGTTTTATTAGATAATTACCGGTAATCAGGTTCTATAATATCTGATTAATTACTTATAAAACAAATTATATTTACATTCCCCACTCCCTTTATTCTTCACCATTCCCACACAGCCAAAATGAGACAACTCTAACTTACAATATCAGAATCGTCTGTCTTTAAGGTCTTACAAGTAACTTACTGGACTGGGTACAGGACAAGACATTCACCGGACCAGGGATAACAAACGAAATGACAACACAATTTAACGAGGCCGAGTCTAATTATTTCTGCCCTGGGGATTTTGTTGATTTTTTGATAATTAATTTTTACTGTTATATTTATTATTTTAAGATTAAAAAATCGAATGTTTACCATCCTGATTTCTTAGGGGGCCATCTCAAAAGTTGTCGAATTTTAATATTGGACCCTATGGGAATTTGTTGGAAAAGCGCCAACTTATCACATTTTCCCCATATTTTTTGTATTTCTGCCCTAGAGATTTCTTTTTCATTCAAGTAGAAGAAAGTCATTGTACAAAGTCACCAAACTCTGATATTTCAAAAAAGTTCACCGTCAGGATTGATCTAGGAATTGATTACTAAGTTTATTTTTTCAATGCCCAATACCTCTAAAATTGCCAAATAACGGTATAAATAGATATCTGTGCAGATGAATTATTGGCTCATATGATTTTTCGGTTTATAATAGGAATGTTTAGATCGCTTACTAGTAAGGACAGGTGTAGCATAATATTTTGATACCTCGATATATTGAAGCCGGGTTCAAAATATCGCATAATATTTTGAACCCAGGTTCACTTTTTCGCTGCGATATATTGAACCCCCTTATAAAATATTGAACCCCTACCTTTTTCATTTAAGAGGTAGGGGGTTCAAAATATTATGGCCATAAAATATTGAGTCCCCCTGCCCATTTAATTTTACATCTAGGGGGGTTCAAAATATTATGGCCATAAAATATTGAGTACCCCTGCTTATTTAATTTACAGGGAGGGGGGTTCAAAATATTATGGCCATAAAATATCGAATCCCCCTGTCCATTTAATTTATGAGGGAGGGGGTTCAAAATATTATGGCCATAAAATTTTGAGTCCCCCTACCCTTTTAATTTTACAGGGAGGGGGGTTCAAAATATTATGGCCTTAAAATATTGAGTCCCCCTGCCCTTTTAATTGATGAGGGAGGGGGTTCAAAATATTATGGTCATAAAATATTGAACCCCCCCCTTTTTTTTTATTTGTGAGGGAGGGGGTTCAAAATATTATGGCCATAAAATATTGAACCCCCTTGCCTTTTTGATTTAAGAGGGAGGGGGGTTCAAAATATTATGGCAATAAAATATTGAGTCCCCCTGTCCATTTAATTTATGAGGGAGGGGGTTCAAAATATTATGGCCATAAAATATTGAGTCCCCTGCCTTTTCAATTTATGAGGGAGGGGGTTCAAAATATTATAGCCATAAAAAATTGAGTCCCCCTGCCCTTTTCATTGATGAGGGAGGGGGTTCAAAATATTATGGCCAGTGGAAGTGTGTAAGTGGGAGAAGGGTTTTAGATTATTTGCAGGCATATTATATCATCACTCCCTTTTCAAAACAGTTCAATAGGGTGACTGAATAATTTATAGCCATAATATTTTGAGCCCCCCTCCCTGTAAAATTAAATGGATGGGGGACTCGATATTTTATGGCCATAATATTTTGAACTCCCTCCCTCTTAAATTTAAAAGGCAGGGGGAATCAATATTGTATGGCCATAATATTTTGAACCCCCTCCCTGTAAAATTAAATGGGCAGGGGGATTCAATATTTTATGGCCATAATATTTTGAACCCCCTCCCTGTAAAATTAAATAGGCAGCGGGATTCAATATTTTATGGCCATAATATTTGGAACCTCCTCCCTGTAAAAATAAATGGGCAGGGGGATTTAATATTTTATGGCCATAATATTTTGAACCCCCTCCCTGTAAAATTAAATGGGCAGGGGGATTCAATATTTTATGGCCATAATATTTTGAAACCCCTCCCTCTTAAATTTAAAGAGCAGGGGGGTTCAATATTTTATGGCCATAATATTTTGAACCCCCTACCTCATCAATTAAAAGGGCAGGGGGACTCGATATTTTATGGCCATAATATTTTGAACCCCCCTCCCTCTAAAATTAAATGGGCAGGGGGACTCAATATTTTATGGCCATAATATTTTGAACCCCCTCCCTGTAAAATTAAAAGGGCAGGGGAATCAATATTTTATGGCCATAATATTTTGAACCCCCTACCTCTTAAATTAAATGGACAGGGGGACTCAATATTTTATGGCCATAATATTTTGAACCCCAGGTTCAATATTTTATAGGGGGGTTCAATATTTCGCAGCGATATTTTGAACCCGGGTTCAAAATATCGCGGGGTTCAATATATTATATGACACCGGTATGTTTCTTTGGATGTTCTGTCATTAGTTTTTAGAATAATATCTATGATGGACATCTTGAACATACAAGCGAGTCTTGTGTCATTCTTCAGCGTCATGCATTGCTTACAAAATCCGAAAATGGTGACATCGCTATAGAGCCATTTCAGCATTTTTTTCCTAATTATTGTTGTAAAATGACATTTTCAGACCAGTAGGAGTTAAAGATAATGTTAATTTTGTATTAAAATCAAAATATTTTGCAAAGGTGTACTGTCGCACAAATAACTGCATGAAATTAAAAAGCTGTGCAAAGTCATGCAAACTCGAATTAGACTCGGCCTCATTAATTGTAGATTAAAGTTACCTTCATTAAAAGTAAGAGACTGAAAATCAGAACTCAGTTCCTCCACTACTGTACTGACAGCTGATCTGGAGGGATCCTGGTCAGTTTTGGGGGGTAGCTCTACTGTACTGACGGCTGATGGTGAGGGACTCTGGTCAGTTTTGGGGGGTAGTTCCTCCTGGTCCTCACAATCCCTGGGGTCCCCTGATTGAGGGACAGCGGCCTGTGCTGGAGAACCTACAGTACTACTGTCAGATGTACGTCTATCTCTATCTGCAATATGACAGGTTATAATATACAATTATTGCTGGTTTTTGAGGTCAATACAATGATTTAGCCATCTGAGGAGTACAATATTCACCGAGCCCGAAGGGCGAGGTGAATATTGTACTTCGAAGATGGCTAACTCATTGTATTGACCGAAAAAACAGCAATAATTGTTTTATTATATAATTCACTGATAAAATGATACAGCTCATTACTTGTTTGCATTTTATTAAGTCCTAGCCAAATACAAGAGAGAAGCAGAATTAAAATGTGAATAAACCTTACCAGTCGTATCAATTTGAAATGTTTTTTTTAAAATCAATTTTAGTTGCCATGAAAGAAATATGTAATGTCAGTTTTTTTTATAGGATAGATTTTGAAAGGAAGGAGTATCGCATGTATCAGGAAAAACTGACTGCCAAAAAGTAAAAAAAAAAAAAATGTTGTTCAGTAAAAGTTTTGGGGGGGGAGGGGTCCCTGCATCCCTCTTACCACCATCACCTAAAATATATATTTGCTTATGTTTTGTTCACATGAAAATAAAAATCATAGTCGTTTGAATAGCTTTCTAAAACAATTTGTATCAATTTGGAATTTCCAAAGCTATTTTTAGATCAATGTAGAGGAAATAAATCCTTGTATTGACCTGGAACGTCACGTGCAGGTCAATACAACGTAATATTTTTCTAACATAGTTGGATCTCAGCCAATCAGAGAGATGGAAATTATTCAATCATATAATAATATACAATTATGTACTTCAGTGTAGGTCAATTCGATATGTGGTTATAAGGACTCATGGCAATTGATATTGACCAAAGAGGATCGGTCGCTATTATTTCCTGGGTCTGAGGTCAATATCAATTGCCACGAGTCCTTATAACCACATACTGAACGTTCACTGAAGTCCATAATAGTTATATTATATAATCACTCAAAGTGATTACACTGACACAGTCCTGACTAAACAGACTTGGCTGTCATTATCACACAGTGGTTAAAAACATGGTTCTTATATTATTATGTCACGTTTTACATAACTTCAGTGCAATCGTATGCTGTGTCGTGCGATATCATTTTCCACCGACACACTTTGGCGTCGATATCACAAAAGGAGGAATATCGAGTGATGTCCATTCAGCCAATGAAAATAACGAAAATAATCTTCTTATATAATATTATTAGTTATGTTCATTGGTAATTATGTAATGCATCATTATTTGCTTGCCTTCAAATCAAAAGGAATAAAGAGTAAGGTTATCTATATCAATAACAATGCTTAAATACTAATTAACTGCCAAAGTGTCAATATCCCTTCAAAAATAAATATTAATTCAAGACTGTGCTTTCATTTCCAAAAGAAATGTTTGCATTATCAAGTATAAGTTGGGTACCTAATGAATTCTTTTATCTGCCAGGTGTAAACACCTACCCAATCCTTCTAACCATCAACTGTAAACATCTACCTAATCCTTCTCACCATGTCATCTGTAAACACCTACTTAATCCCTCTAACCCTATTAGCTTTATTAATAAACACTTACCTGATTCTTCTAACCATGCCAGCTGTAAACACCTACCCAATCCTTCTAACCATGTCAGCTGTAAACACCAATTTAATCCTTCTAACCATGTCTGCTGTAAACACCAATTTAACCCTTCTAACCATGTCAGCTGTAAATACCTACTTAATCCTTACTACCATGTCAGCTGTAAACACTTACCTGATTCTTCTAACCATGTCAGCTGTAAACACCTACCCAATCCTTCTAACCATGTCAGCTGTAAACACCTACCCAATCCTTCTAACCATGTCAGCTGTAAACACCCAACTTATCCTTCTAACCATGTCAGCTTTTTTAATAAACACTTACCTGATTCTTCTAACCATGTCAGCTGTAAACACCTACCCAATCCTTCTAAACATTTCAGCTGTAAACGCCCACCCAATCCTTCTAACCAAGTCAACTGTAAACACCTACCCAATCCTTCTAACCATGTCAGCTGTAAACACCCAACTTATCCTTTTCACCATGTCAGCTGTAAACACCAATTTAATCCTCCTAACCATGTCGGCTGTAAACAACTACTTAATCCTTTTAACCATGTCAGCTATAAACACCTACTTAATCCTTCTAACCATGTCAGCTGTAAACACCTACCCAATCCCTCTAACCATGTCAGCTGTAAACACCAATTTAATCCTCCTAACCATGTCAGCTGTAAACACCTACTTAATCCTTCTAACCATGTCAGCTATAAACACCTACTTAATCCTTCTAACCATGTCAGCTGTAAACACCTACCCAATCCCTCTAACCATGTCAGCTGTAAACACCAATTTAATCCTTCTAACCATGTCAGCTGTAAACACCTACTTAATCCTTCTAACCATGTCAGCTATAAACACCTACTTAATTCTCCTCACCATGTCAGCTGTAAACATCTACCTGATCCTTCTGACCATGTCAGCTATAAACACTTACCTGTTTCTTCTGACCATGTCAGCTGTAAACACCTACCTGATCCTTCTAACCATGTCCTTTATCTTCTGATCATGTAAACACCCACCTGATTCCTCTGACCATGTCAGCTGTTAATGTACACCTACCTGATTCTTCTGATGATGTCCTTGCACTATTGGCCATCCTCCTTATGTCGTCTGTCTCTCTGTTGTCCTCTTTTGTCTCCTTGTTACCTTAAAATAATAAAACCAAGCGCTATAGCAGTAATCCATTGATAAACAAAAATATTTCATATCAATAGCCAGTCATAGACAAGAATGCAGTGAAATAACTTACTATATACAGATTTTAGTTTTATTTTCTATCTTTTCACACCTTTGAAATTTTTATCAGTTTGAGTTGAGAAAAGGGTAAAAATACCATATATCTGGTAAATTTTACATGAATTTACATGGGTCAAAAGGCTGTTGATTAATTTTTATGTTTCCAACTTTTACACTAAAATTAACAAGAAGTCTGTGAGCCAATGCTCACTAGTAATACCCCTGCTCTGATGTGAATATACACTATCATGTTAATATACACAATTTTAGTTACGGGTAGATGCACATATAAATAGGCAGTTGACATCAGATTCATATACATAAAGATAAATCCCATCATATGGCATGCCTCAACAAAGTATGTGCTAAAATTTCAAGGATCTGTAAAGAGTAGATGCTGAGAAAACTGCGACAAAAAATTGTTATGTATGAAACGGACAGATGCATGGACAAACAGGAAGTTGCCCATCATATGGCATGCCTCAAGGAAAATTATGTTAAAATTTCAAGCATCTGCGATAAGTAGTTGCTGAGAAAACTGTGATGAGAATTTCTTACAGACAGACAGACAGACAGACAGACACACAAGTGTAAAGCAGTATACCCCCCTCTCCTTGGGAGCGGGGGTATAAAAAATGCTGATGACCTATATTTTCATTACAGTTGTAAGTTACGCATATACAATTTGTAGTGCCAGGAGTTTGTTGTTAGATAAAACAAACTGGCTCTTCCTCTTGGAGACATTCCCTGTGTGGCGCAGTGGTTAGAGCTTGCTCTAGAGTCGTTAAGTGAGGAGTCGATACTTATGTCGCGGGTTTGAATCCCACTATGGGACGTGGAGACCGGTCCTTCAGATGAGACCGTATAAACCAAGGTCCCGTGTCGCAGTAGGTGCTGGCATGAAAAGGATCCCTCACTGCTCAATGGCCCTGAGTGCCGAGTATAGGACAAATATTTGTAGCTCTCCACCAGCAAGTGGTGGCATCTCCATATGAGTGAAAAATTCTTGAGAAGGACATTAAACAACATACAATCAATCTTCTTGGAGATATAATTTAAAAGAGACATACTGGCTGTCAAATCATCTCAAAACACAAATTATCACAGGTAATTAGCTTGCAGTATAAACAGGTTTCTTAAAATGACCACTGCTTTGTTTTCATTTGTTGTTGGGCCAAAAAAAAAACACCTTTGTTTCCCTTATGCTACCAATCCAATTAAATCCTGCCAACTGAAAAGTTTTTTTTAAATAAGATGATTCAAATATTTTTCTTTAGTGTTCACCAAGTTTTATAAAATACGATTTCATCAAAATCAGTTTTTATCAGAACGGCCGAAATTGTTCTACTGTGATTTTCAAGAATTTGTTGGAAACAAAATGGTGCCCAGATGTGATTAAAGAGAATTAGTTCTTCATAAAACAACAGCGACATCACAATCTTATGCCCTTTAGAATTCTCCACTCTGAAACAATTCAATAATAAAATTTACCATAACTATTTAAGGTCAGACAACATGTTCCTCAAAAATATATAATTTTTCCTAAGAACTTGCCATTGAAGTATAGGTACTTAAAAAGTTTCCTCATAAAAAATTAGGGTACCTTACCAGGCATTTGGCCAAGATACCATAAGGTCATATTTCTTATATAACCCTTACAGGTAATCTTCTAAATGGCCTATAGCACAATTTTTAGTGAACTTCTATTTAAAAAACATTTTGAAAGCAATGTAGAAATCAGAAGAAAATGACAAATATGAATAATTTTTAATATAATACCAAGAGATACAAAACATAATTTTTATATTTGAGGAACATGTCGTCTTACCTTAAGAGTGTTTTGACGGTGTCTTGGAGTCTCCATGTGAGTAAATAAATTTTTGAAAGGGACGTTCAACAACAAACAAACAAACCTGTCTGTTGAATTTTAGGTACGTAATACATGGTAAGGCCCGCCTCATGAGCAGATGAGGGGCCCACCTAGTGAATACATCATCCAATTTCACTGCATATCATTTAATTTTAGTTTTGATCTAATAACCACTTTATCTATGTTTCTATGCCATTATGGACCATAGGAGTTGTTGTAAGTATGTCTGCCTATTTATCCTGATACAATATATATAATTCAGCTGTCCTTTCTTCATACCTTTATTTATGGGTTAAACTTCGTGACTATGACATTGTATATAGCATTTTTAACATTTGTAGATTCGGTTTGGTACAATTAAATATTGTTTACACAGTTTCCTAATAGTTTTGAAATGATTCAGCTTCCTGAGACGTCCAGTGTATTTTTCTTTACTTAGGCCCTTGAAGATTTTTTGTTTAGGCTACAAAAAATTCACCAATTGTGGTTTTTATGATAAATACTTGTACTCCTGAACCTTCTACTGCATTCATATCAATTTCCTGGCCCTGTTGTTCTTCAAAGCAATATTTTCATGAGTTTACCTGTATTCTCTGTGTGTATAAATATTATTGAAAGTAAAAATTTTGAAGAGTGTTTCCTACACTGTGTTTGTGTATAATTATTTTACCTGTTGAGGTTTTCTTTCTACTGCTAAACAGTCCAAACAATCCTCCGGCTGTTGTACCAATCAGAGCATTTGTCGTGGCAGATATCCCAGCAGCCCCCGCTGACTGTAGCGCTGCAATCCAGCCTCCTGCGCTGGCCGCCGCCACACCACCACCATTAGCAATGGCTGCCATGGACATCAGACGAGCAGCCAGAGAACCTGCCACAATACCACCACTGGAGAAACCTGCAGCAGACAGAGCTATCGGTGCGGCCGCCACGGCTAGGCCACCCACCACCACACTCCCCGCTATCACCTTAGTGTAATGCCTCAGACTCTCTGTAACCAGCATTTATATACCGTGAACAGAGATATTGTGATTGGTGACCAGTGAGCAGTCAAGGATAGGTGGAGATTTTTCCCTTTACTTTAATGCTTTACTCCTCACTATTCACTGAGATATTAACAGTAGTACTTTACTGTTGAAAATGTTCACTGAAATAGTGTCCCCTACAAATTTTGTTAAAGTAAAGGTTTTTTTTTGCTGTAGTATAAAATTATGAATAACAGTTGCTGATGATAAGAGAGGTAACTCAAAAAGAAAGAAGACATGTCTGTGTCTTCTTTCTATTCATATTCAGCCAAAATATCAAAATTTCACAATATTAAATGTATATGTATTTCATGTACCGGTAATACATTAACTTTATGAAATCAAATAGTTTGAGAGAAATCTTTAAGGTGAGAAAAAATTAGGCCTAAGATGTTTTTGATCACCATTCTATATATGGAATGCATTGACAAATGTATATAAAAAACACTGAATTGAAGAGGAGGGGTGACTTGGTGAGTTAAACAAGACAGAATGTAAAATTTTTGGTAACATTACATCTGCTCAAGAGTTCTTGAAAAATTCTACTGGATAGCTAGGAATTCCCCAATGTCTTTAAATGTCTTACACAAGGAATAGCCAATCAAAATGATATCAAGTACACATGTAATTCTATATATTTAGAGACAGTTTCTTTTATTTTTTCATTCCTGTCAGAGAGCTAAAATATTAGGTTTACAGTATTAATTTTGGTCTTGAATTCTAAAAGTATTAAAACATGAGTGGAATTGTCTCATTAAATAACAAGAGGCCCACGGGCCTTATAGGTCACCTGAGAATTGTGCAACAACTTTCAAACAATTCAATTTGGTTTGTATTTTAAACCAGAGGCCATGAAATTCACAATTCACAATTTTGAAAGAGGCACCATTGCTTATCATAATTATAGACTTAGCATGCTTACTCTATTTACTTAATACCAAGAGGTAGATCAGAGTAACATTAAGAGAAAATGCACTTCCACTTTATAACCAGTTGTGCACCTCATCCCAAAGAAACCACTGAACCTGGGGCCACATATTTCAAAATTTTATCATAAAATGGTTGATTAATACCAAAGAGCAGATTTCAAAGCATTAATTTATTTTCAGACTTTGTACCCCCCCCCCCCCCTCACCCCCGACCCAGGGAGGGGGGGGCATAAAAAATAACCATTTTGCTAGATGCACCTTTCTTCATCATAAATATATATCATTGGATCATTGGCATAAAACCCAGGAGCAAAGGAAAGATTTTCAAAGAATTAATGTATTTTCACTATATAATCAATAGAGCCCCGCCCTAACACCACAACCCCTGATCCTGGGGCCATAAAATTCACAATTTTGGAAGAGGCACTCTTGATCAACATAACTATTTACTTACATAGTTTATTTAATACCCAGACAGGCAGACACAGAGAAGAAGATTTTCAAAGAATTAATGCATTTTCACTATATGATCAATAGATCCCCGCCGTAACACCAGAACCTTTGACCCTGGGGCCCTAAAATTCACAATTTTGGCAGAGGCACTCTTGCTCATCATAACTATGTGCTTGGTTAGTTTATTTAATACCCAAAAGCAGAGAAGAAGATTTTCAAAGAATTAATGTATTTTCACTATATAATCAATAGGGCCCCACCCTTACACCAGAACCCCTGACCCTGGGGCCACAAAATTCACAATTTTCAAAGAGGCACTCTTGCTCATCATAACTATTTACTTACATAGTTTATTTAATACACAGGAGCAGAGAAGAAGATTTTCAAAGTATTAATGCATTTTCACTATATAATCAATAGGGCCCCACCCTAACACCAGAACCCCTGACCCTGGGGCCACAAAATTCACAATTTCGGAAGAGGCACTCTTGCTCATCATAACTATTTACTTACATAGTTTATTTAATACACAGGAGCAGAGAAGAAGATTTTCAAAGAAATCATGCATTTTCACTGTATAATAAATAGGGCCCCGCCCTAGCACTAGAATTAATTAAGGAATATGTATATGACCCCCGGGCACTAATTAGCACCTGATAATAATTTCTAACACAAGCTGAAGATATTGCAAACAAGAGGATTAGAAGCCATTGGACTACTTATTTCGATGTGGATTAATTAATTAAAAAATCAAAATATAAATTTTAGGCCAAAAAAAATAATAGTCTTGTTTCCTGCTACCAGCCAGAAAAAAATGGGGTAGGTAGGTAGGGAAATTATTTTATTTTTATTTTTTATTTTATTTTTTTATTTTTTTCTGGCGGTGTTTCTTTGGATATGTTCTAATACAAGATCAAATTAAACATGCCATATGTCAATATTGCCTTTTAAAATTGAATTTCATGTCTTTTGATGCACAACTCAAGTGGTACTTTAAGAAAGTCCTTATTTAAAACATAGAATTTTATGAAATACCACTTGAATATATATTTTTTTCAGTTTTCGAACATGAAATTCCAAAAATTCCTGATCTTTTTTCCCAAAACTAAAAAAAAACTTAAGGGTCGGCTGCAAAAAAATAGGGTAGGTCGGGTAGCAGGAAACAAGACTATTTTTATTTTTGGCCTTATCTCTACACTTTACAAAGATTAATTTGATTTAAACGTTCTTATTAAATAAAATAAAATAGGGGAATATTTAATCAACAATTTACTTAAAAAAGAAAATATGATTATGTTCAAATTCTTTTTAAGAAATTCTACTATCAGAATATTTGTTCCAAAAAACATTTCTTAAATAATGTTTATGAGATGGTTGGGGAGTGGGGGATTTTTCATTCATTTAAAATCAGAGTAATTGAATGTAATTGAAAAGTAATTGTGAATTACAGCCTTTTTGGAAAGTAATTATAAATTAAATTACCATTACTTTTAATTGAAAATTTGGCCAATTACACATTACTTTCCATTACATCAAAATTTGTAATTAATTACAGTCAATTACCATTACACATTACCATTACCACATCCCTGCTCAGGTGACGTAAAAAGGGCATCGGTGCCAGACAACTCACCGAAAGACAGGTCACCGACAGAAGTGAAATTCACCGAATGGACAATTCACCGACAATAGTCTCGGCGAGTAGAAATTCATATAATAATTGTTAGATGCATGTTGTGTTAAGTATTCAGATATAATAAGCATAATCAAAGATGTATATAAAAAAACATGTTTTTCTTTGTCTTTTTTGTATATCCATCATAATGATTGTTGGTCTTACGCATATGTATAGATTGCTTCTCGTGAAAACGAGCAAGGTCATAGGACGGCAATATTGGGTGAAGTTTTTGATTTAATAAAAAAAGATTTGAAATGAATAAAAACTCTTTTCACATACATGAATTTCTCTAAATATTTTTTTTTAATTTCCATGTTTTATATTTTCTGTCGATGATGTACACACATCTTTCGGTGACTTGTCGTATCGGCGAGTTTTATTGTGTCTGTGAAAAAAGTGTCGGCGAGTTGTCGTTGGGTGAGTTGTCTTTCGGTCACCTGTCTTAGACCCAAAGGGCATTCTATTTTGAGTTTATATTGACAGTCACACATACTATTTCTATGGGTTGTTTCTTTATCCCTTTCCAGCTTCATGACATGGTTGTAGTAGTCCACCAGCTCTTCTTGATTCTCTTCAAAATTAGAGACGTAGTAATGAACAGAAATATCTTTTGTTTCAACATGACATGTATATCAACGTCCTAATAAACATGATAAACACCTCTACATGTAAGCTAAAGGAAAATGGAAATTATGCAGTAAGTAGTTCTACATGTATCATGGTTCCATTAAATCACACTAAGTCCTAAATGGTACATAGCCACTGAACAGATAATACTACTACCTTTACCAAAAATAAATTCCATTTTATTCAAAAATTGACAGGCACTACTTTCAGTGAAAATAACAAGTAAACCTTTAAAGTATTCATGTAAACTTTCCTGGATTAAAACTTACCTGACCTTCTGACTGTAAATGTTTATACTTTGTTTGATTGATTATTGTAGCTTAAATGACCTTCTGATAATAAGTGTAACTTTTGGTGGATTTATAGTTACCTGACCTTCTGACTACAAGTGTAACTTTCCCTGGATTTATAGTTACCTGACCTTCTGACTATAAGTGTAACTTTCCCTGGATTTATAGCTTACCTGACCTTCTGACTATAAGTGTAACTTTCCCTGGATTTATAGCTTATCTGACCTGCTGACTATAAGTGTAACTTTCCCTAGATTTATAGCTTATCTGACCTTCTGACTGTAAGTGTAACTTTCCCCAGACTTGTAGCTTACCTGATCTTTTCACTATAACTGCCCTGTGCATTTCATCTCCAACATAGTAACGAGCTAAACATGCCTGTTCCTCCCTCAGGTCAGCCTCCACACCACTCTGACCCGACAGATCCTCAATCTCCTCCAAAGGTATCGGGTGACTGAGAACATCCTCCTCAACATAAACCACCAACACCCAGCCTACAATCAAAAGGTATCAGGTAATACTCCATTAAAACCCTGCCTACAAACAACAGGTATTGGGTCATATTCCACTAAAACCCAGCCTACGATCAAAGTGTACTGTAGGTCACCAAATTTTTGTGACAGCTAACTTTTGCATGATGGTCACTTGGTATTTATGAAAAAGACCCAATATTAACAATTACGGTTATGGATTTATATGATTTTTTTAAATTCATATAATTTAATTCTGGTTGTAACACTGTATTTGATTGGATAAAAAATTTACTTTATATCGTATAAAATGGGTTGCCTACGTCACAATGACTTGCGTCAAAAACGTATCAATCCGCCTGTCATTACATTCAAATTCTGTACAAACTGAAGTCATTTTGTTAGGACAATCATCTTTTTTTATTACATCAAATGAATGAAAATTAAATTATAAGCAATGAATTTAATAGCTACCCATTTTATACGGTATAAACTGGGTTGGAACAGTTTACGCTTTTTTATAAACCGCTTTGTGGTTTATAAAGCGTAAACTGCCCCAACTCAGTTTATACCGTATAAAATGGGTAGCTATTAAATTCATTCCTTAAATAGAAGTGTATAGACAAGAATTTAATTTTCATGAGTTGAATGTATGGAAATAAATTATCAAGTTCTCAAACTCACAGGTCTGAGGTCATGTGCTACCCATATTAACCTATGTTTCATCACAATTTGATTGTTTAGAAAGAAACTAAGAGATATTTCTGTGAACGGCTGGAAAGCACTGCTTGTCATTGCAAGCTCTAATGAATATGCCTTGGCAAAGAGAAAATTTGGAATTGCACATTGATCCAAACAAATTTTTCTGTGGTTATTTCTAGAATCACAATGCATGGTTTGTTTAAGCTATCTTCTTGCGGGAAAACTGTAGACGTACTTTTTTCCACGGGGTCATAATTCCACGGAATCTCAATTTCCGTTAAATCCACAGGTTGAAAATTACGCGGATTTCTCAGACTATTACTATATGCCTTGCATTTATTATGTTTGGACAAATTTCTACGGAAAATTTGTGACCGGGTACATAGCGTAAATTAATACCATGCGGAAAAAAGTACTTCTACAGTAACAAAAAAAGTTAAACAAAATTTAATTCATCTTGATTTAATTGATGCAGAGAATAGTAAACAAAATGTTTGTCATTAAAAATCAGTACTGCTCAGGCTATTGTTTGATTTGGTAATACAACTAACTTGTGACGCATGCGACGTTGGAGTCTAGGCGTACCAAAAATCACATGGGTTTTGATGAGTCAGATCTAAATTTAATAAGTATCTGCACTTACCCTAATGGTCGCACTGTCAACATATTATCAGGGATCTATATCTATATACTTACATACGTCCCTGATATTACTATATGTTTAAAAAAAATTATTTTGAAAAAGTGCCTGTTTTAGACATGGGTCCTAATAAATCTCTTGCAAGTTTGGTTGATTGATGTCGCTAATTTTCACACGTCATGGTTACAAAATTTAACCCACGCATCAAAGGATTAAAAAAGCATATTTTAAAGTACTTGAATATTTTGGAAGCAGACCCAACATGCAAAGATTTATTCAAATCAGAACCTATCATTGCATACAGTAAGCATAAAAACAGGAGATCTATTGATAAAATCAAGTTTACAATTAACAGGGAATATCGTTATTGGGGCCCCTGATGAGGCATAATTTGTAGCCGAAACACTCTACTACTACCATTATAACTATAATTTTCATTATAACAATATCAACCTAATTCATTCAATGTGGTTTTGAGTGTCGGGTCCCAATAACTCATTATCAAGTCTGGTTGATTGACGTCGTTTATGCCATAACAAATTTATTCCTAGATTCTCATCCCCACCCACCCCGATTTTATACCCCCGCCTCGATTTTTTATTTCTGTTTTTCTTCGTCTTAATTCTGATCGGGATTGGTAATCATCTACCATTCTACTTTCGTTTTAAATCCCGCGAAAGTCGACATGATTTTGACAGCTGTAATACATGCGTATATATTTTAAACAAGGGTCATTGGTTGAAAAAGATTGGTGATGATGTAAAGTAAGAGATAATTGAACCTTTACTATGACTTTTATTCGGGTATTGTAGATACAATTACACCGATTGACCAAGTCAATAAAAAATCTGCAAAATTGAAAAAATGAAAAATATAAAATAAAAGCCGCCTTCCCCAACTCGATTTAAACAAGAGGCCCATGGGCCACATCGCTCACCTGAGAAGCTTTGACCATTCTGTTCTTTACCAGATTTCCCCCTTGTTATACATAATGCATCCCCACCCTACCCCACTGATCATAATTTAGACATTTTGAAATCTACACTACCCCATGATCCTTCCATGGGCACATATGTTTCAGCTTTTTTGGCCCATTGGTTCCCGAGAAGAAGATTTTCAAAAATTTTTCCTATATATTTCTATATAAAACTTTGATTCCCCATTGTGGCCCCACCCTTCCCCCAGGGATCATGATTTGAACAATTTAGAATTTACACTACCCCAGAATGCTTCCACATAAGTTTCAGCTTTTCTGGCCCAGTGGTTCTTGAGAAGATTTTCAAAGATTTTTCCTTTATATTTCTATGTAAAACTTTGACTCCCTATGATGGCCCCGCCCTTCCCCCGGGGATCATGATTTGAACAATTTAGAATCTACATTATACCAGGATGCTTCCACATAAGTTTCAGCTTTTCTGGCCCAGTGGTTCTTGAGAAGAAGATATTCAAAGACTTTTCCTTTATATTTCTATATAAAACTTTGATTCCCCCATTGTGGCCCCGCCCTTCCCCCGGGGGTCATGATTTGAACAATTTAGAATCTACATTATACCAGGATGCTTCCACATAAGTTTCAGCTTTTCTGGCCCAGTGGTTCTTGAGAAGAAGATTTTCAAAGATTTTTCCTATATATTTCTATATAAAACTTTGATTCCCCATTGTGGCCCCGCCCTTCCCCCAGGGATCATGATTTGAACAATTTAGAATTTACACTACCCCAGAATGCTTCCACATAAGTTTCAGCTTTTCTGGCCCAGTGGTTCTTGAGAAGATTTTCAAAGATTTTTCCTTTATATTTCTATGTAAAACTTTGATTTCCCATTGTGGCCCCGCCCTTCCCCCGGGGGTCATGATTTGAACAATTTAGAATCTACATTATACCAGGATGCTTCCACATAAGTTTCAGCTTTTCTGGCCCAGTGGTTCTTGAGAAGAAGATATTCAAAGACTTTTCCTTTATATTTCTATATAAAACTTTGATTCCCCCATTGTGGCCCCGCCCTTCCCCCGGGGGTCATGATTTGAACAATTTAGAATCTACATTATACCAGGATGCTTCCACATAAGTTTCAGCTTTTCTGGCCCAGTGGTTCTTGAGAAGAAGATTTTCAAAGATTTTTCCTATATATTTCTATATAAAACTTTGATTCCCCATTGTGGCCCCGCCCTTCCCCCGGGGGTCATGATTTGAACAATTTAGAATCTACATTATACCAGGATGCTTCCACATAAGTTTCAGCTTTTCTGGCCCAGTGGTTCTTGAGAAGAAGATTTTTTAATGACCCAACCCTATTTTTGTCTTTTCTTGATTATCTCCCCTTGCGAGGGGATATGTCCCTTCATTTCAACAATTTAAATTCCCCTTCACCCAAGGATGCTTTGTATCAAGTTTGGTCAAAATTGGCCCAGTGGTTCTTGAGAAGAAGTCGAAAATGTGAAAAGTTTACAGACGGACAGACAGACAGACGGACAGACGGACGGACAGACGGACGGACGACGGACAAAATATGATCAGAAAAGCTCACTTGAGCCTTCGGCTCAGGTGAGCTAAAAAAAAAAAGTTATTCTTTTGCCGTGCTTAAAAGATAAGGCCTGTAAAATTAAAATGATTGGCCCGAAAAGGCCGTTAACAGGTCCAGCACAATACCCTGATAAAGGTATATAGCTTGATCAAGGTATTTTATGTAATGAAAATACAAAAAAAAAAAAAAAAAAAAAAAATCTAAAAAAATAAATACTGAAAGTCAACATGGTCTAGTTCTAATTTGTTTCAGTAAATTCACTCATCTAAGTAAGGTACTCAAATACAAAGAAATCAGTATAAAAGCATGTCGTGTGAGGAGAGGTTCTTTTATGCTGTCTTTTTGATACTTGAGTATTTTTCATGCACGAGTGAACAGACTGACCACAACTTATAATTCCACCTTTAAATTTATTTTTTTAAAGATTTTTTTTTGATTTTCTTTACATAAAATACCTAGATCATGGTATTTTTCATACCTTGTCAATAAACCTATATAGCTATATACCTTTATCAGGGTATTGTGCTGGACCTGGTTACATCATACTCATGATATAGCTGCAGATCTGTAGCTCTCCGAAAAAAAAAAATATATTGATAGACCAGAGAGCTACAGTGCCACCCATTGAAAAAACTGTATATTTATTGCGCACAAAAAAGTGCGCTCGGTTCTCGATTTATTTCACCATGTTTTTCAAACTGTAATCTCAAAATATTATTAACCGTGTGTTCCTAACATATTCTTTCACTTTTTCCACAACCAAACATTCCTCATTACATAATTGTTGTTAATAGTCCTCCTGACCCTGATATTGAAATCATCGAACATTTCGCTCATTTATACTGCCATTTTGGTTTCAAAGATAATTCGGTTCAATATGCTTCGTTCGGATGTCAACTACGAGAGTACTTGATAGAAGATGAAGGAATTTTTTGAAATCTTTCCTTATTTGCAATTGAGGTAAGAATTTGGAAGAATTAATTAAGAACCGAGCGCACTTTTTTGTGCGCAATAAATATACAGTTTTTTCAATGGGTGGCACTGTAGCTCTCCGGTCTATCAATATATTTTTTTTCGGAGAGCTACAGATCTGCAGCTAACTCGTGATACTGACATGACTGATTCAATATTTTGGCAATGTGTTGACAGATCACGATATAAACAACGACTAGCTCTAACGAATGTTTCGAGTGAACTGTGTGCGCTTACTTCTGACTGTTGTTAAAGGGATCGAGGCTGACATGGCTGATAAACACAGAACCTTAATTCATTTCATCCAATATACTCTCCCAGGATTTCCATCAGAAAGTTGACAAAATGAAGTCATATCCGGTTTGGTTAATGAAAACAAGTAGTCTGGTCCCCTTCCCACAATTCCGTTCGCGCACTCTCTACATTGAGGTCAGGCATCGGTTGATTCACTGTTAGACGTTGCGCAATTTCAAAATGGCGGACAAAGTAAGTAACCATTTCGAGAAATAATTGCTCATATCTATTTGTTTTACATCATGACAACTTATTCTATCAATGCTGACTGTTAACCAAAGTTGTTTTCTATTTATTTTTTTATTCATTTGATTTATTTTGCGTAAATTTACACTGTTATCACTGGATTAAAAAATGTTTACATTTTGAGAACGTGGAGGTAATCAAAATTGACCCCCAATATTTCCTTTGTCGTGGACCGACATCAAAATTTTATTGTCTAGTCTAATGTATATATGAATGATCTGTGTTAGGATATACAATGTTTTATATGTCGCTCCTTATTTAATATAGTAAAAGCACCCCAGATTTCTGATCATAATTCTATCAACAATAAGCACGTGCTCTGGCCTACTATTGCATATATTTGACATAAAACAAAGGTTTAACGCTTCTGTATTGTTTGCACTTTGCCGTCCATGCAATCATCATCTAAGTTGAAAAGGGGAGGGATTAAACCACCCTGTGTATTTATTTTGTTTTGGTTTATTATGATTCCCCTAGCTAGTACCTTAATTTCCTTCCACTTTATCCAGCATAATATTTACATGATAGCATGAGTCTAACATGTAATTTTCATGGAGGCTTGTTAACGTGAATCCCACCACTATACAGATGTTTAGCAGTTAGAGGTGGTGCTAATTTGGTAGGTCACCACAATCTATTAACATCCTTGTATACATAATAATTTTTCATACAACTGTAATGCCAATTTGCAAAGGCAATACGTACATTTTGAAAAATTAGTTGAAAATGTACTAATCCTTTTTATGTTGTAACAGGTTCATTATAGCTTTCAGATAATCATAAATATCTCTATTTTGTATGTTTTTTTTTTAGGCTTTTCCATCATTCATTGCATTTCATAAAATTTACCAGGATACCGAAAACAAATCCCCTGTATTAAAGACATGATGGTCAGCCAAAAGAGAGCATGGAAGCCTAACAGGAACAATCCCTCTACAGCCCATTAAGGTGGTACAGTTTAAACTTGCAGAATAATTCATGTAAATTAATTTTGCACACCTTAAAATGTCTGTCCTTTTCTCCAAGTCATTGCGTGGTTGCAATCTTATTTTAAGTACAATTCAATGAATTAAGACAACAATGGTATAACCTTGAAACAGATTTATCAGTTCAAATAATATTAGCTATAAGGAGAGTAAGTCAAAGTAATAATAAATTATTTTACAAATATACAAAAGGAATAATATGCAAATTAATATGGTATATATCAGCACTCAAAAAGCAAGTCAAAGTTCATACAGTTAAACTTGTTAAATACAAATATGCCATGATTGATATTGTGAATTCACAGATATAGAGAAGTTATCTTGTATTCCCAGCAATATAAATTAAGCAAATTCCTTAGTTCAGTTCACTATTTTCTGTTTATAGGTCTGAAGTGTACCAGTTTCTCTTTGACCTGTGCCAACTCTGGTTACCCCGCGTTTGTCAAGTACACGTGTACTTGTCGCTGTCCCAAGGGTCTGGATCCCTCTACCGGATGTCCGACTCATTTTGATGGGGGGTATTTAACTTAGTACATATACAATTCTCTGTTATCCTTGGGCTTTCAATAAGATGTGGTGTTCTGGATGTTACATATTAAGCATCTGAAATTTACAAAGCTTTCATTCACTGTTGAAATATATATGGGATAGAATTTGGGAGAATGTCAATGTGTAGCAAATATTCAATAACAGCATCTCGCACGGCAAAGAGGTATGACCTAGGTAATTTCATCGTCGTCAACAAAAATTTAAAGTTCTGATGTTATTAATTTCTTAACAAATGAGAATCTATTTGCCATTTGGGATACTTTAACTACGTAATGTAAGTGTCGAGAATGCCACACTTTTCTGAAAGTCCGGTGATGATAGGGATTGTACAAAAAATTAAAAAATGTTTTTATTTTCAAAAATTCCTTCATTATTATACATCAAATTGAATCTGCATACTCGGCATAAAAGTTTGGAGTGCCAAAAGACTAGCTCCATCATGACTTTATTATGTTATTTCTCCAAGACACGGTCAAGGTCAAATAAGTCCTATGTCAACCTAGCCAAATGGAAGCAAACGTAACAAATACATGTTTATCTTAAATAGATTAAAGAATAAGATGAATTAATTTCAGAAAAGCTTTTGGTACCTATTATTTATTTCTTCAGATCGAATGATTTCAACAATCATCACCTTTGACCGTCTGACACCTTTACCAGATTAAGTACCTGGATACATGTAACTGGCAGTCTCAGTGGGTTTTATGAAGGCAGTTTTACACATCATCTTAAAGACACCAGGATGGAGCACACAAGTTCCACATTTAGTGCTGACATCATTTTTAAGCCCACCTCTACATTTTACAAATTTTGTGCTAAGAAGAAAATGAAAGAAAATAGAATTTTGCCAAGCTGGCCTGCAGGAAAATATTGTATGGAAAATATTGTATCTACTGCCAAGGAGGGGTTTGTCCCATTGGTAAATAATGCAGAAATAGATTTACCGCTATTTCTAATTTAATTACCCGATAAATTTTCAAGCAAATGTAAACAAACAATCAAATTAAATCAAAAGCTGTGGATTCAATTTTTTTATTCACAAAATACTTAAAAATTTGCTGTCACAGTGGTGCTTATCAATAAAATATAGAAGATAAAACCATTTTTTTAGGAATACCAGAAATATGATCACTACAATTGCTTTTGAACATTTATATCTTAGGCTTCAGTGGTGGATATATACAGTATGATGACACCATGAATCCATAGCATTCAGATATTCTTGGCATTCTTCCTAAAGGTGACTTCACGGCTGACACAGGTTCTATTTCTGTTGTCGCAGTGACTGATCTACATCATCCGGTTATCCTACCCTCAAGGAGCCGTTTGTCTTATTTCCGGACACCTCTGCTTGACAGTAAGTTGCAGGTTCTAATTTTCGCAAGGGTTTTAATTTCATAAAATACAGTGGACCCTCATTTATCCGGACGCTTTGGTTCCCAGTCAATTTGTCCGGATAAATGAAGCGTCCGGATATCTGAATTACCAGTTAAACAAGACAAAATAGAATTTAAAAATTCCGTTCCAATGAAAAGTCGTCCGGATACTGAAGCATCCGGATATCTGGCGTCCGGATATCTGAAGGTCCACTGTAATTAAAAAGGGAAAAATGGGGTAAATAATAACATGGTTTTTTTTTATATTAGCCTTTTTATCAAGTCTGTTGTTTTAGTTTATAAAAACTGTCTTTGTATTTTAAGGAATGCAAAGTTTTGATGACAATGCAGAGTCGAGATATTGTGACAAAGACATGCCAGCTTGAAGAAGACCATCCAGTGATCATGGTGTTCCACTCAATTTTTCAGACTGAATTACATGTATGTGTCAGATTGAAATTCATCTTATGTTGGACAAAACAATCAGGATATTCTTCTGGATCTAGTAGGTGTTTGTAAATAGGAATGAAAAAGATTTTACTCTTCCTTTGTATACTTCAGATTGGAACCTGAAAATGAGAAATGACCACGTAAATGCATTTTTTTAAATAGGTTAAACAGTTCTTGTTACTTGTACATGTAATATGATAAGCATGATCTGAATTTTTATTATACCTTGAAATTTTACTTAACACACAGACAGACTTTCTTAAAGTATTTTCATACACTGAAATCTGTATGACAGATTAAAATATGTTGAATTAATATTTTTTTCAGGTCCAAAGTATTGACAGAACCAAAGAATACCTGATAGTCTGCAAATGGAGTGATCATTCTGATTGGATGAACCAGGCAACACTGATTATCTCAAGAATTTTTAGGATAGAGACTCCATCTTCATTCATAAATAATTGATGTTGACATTTTCTCACAGGCTTTTGTTTCATATCTTCTTTTTCATAACATGGACACCATGCAGCATCAGATATCCTGTAGTGTCAATTAAAGTGTTTGATGTTCAAAGTAATTGATTCTGAGACTTATTTAAAATCTGTTATTTAACAAGCTGTAATAAAATCATGATAGCAATAAGCACAGTATTATTTTACTTTGCATAGCATGTCTTAATTCATGGAAAAATAATGAGGATTTACTTTGTCTATTTTAGACAGGTAGAGCTCTATTTTTCTATTAGCTGCAGAACAGTAGCTCTCTGAAAAAAATATTGGGGGCAAACCTGAGAGCTACAGTGCCACCCATTGAAAAAAAAACTGTATATATATTGCACACAAGAAATGTTTCCTGATTTATTTCTCCATGTTTTTTAACCGTCATCTCAAAATATTACTAACCATGTGTACCTAACATATTTTTTCACTGTTTTCACAACAAGACATTCCTTATAATTGATGTTAGTAGCCCTCCTGGACCTGAAATTGAGATCATCAAAAATTTCGTCCATTTATACTACCACTTTGGTTTGCAAAATATTTCGGTCTTGCAATGCTTCATGCAGTTGTAAACTACGAGTGCACTTGATACTGAGAGAAGTAGGGAAGAATTAATACAGGTGCAAGCACAAATTTTGTGCACAATAAATATACAAGTTCTTTCAGTGGGTGGCACTGTAGCTCTCAGGTCTGTCAAAATATTTTTTAGAGAGCTACAGTTCTGCAGCTATTCATAATTCTTCTATGGAATCATCATTGTTTGAGGAAGGAGGACTAACATTTTTGGATTGAACATCAAGTGAATCAGCTACATTTTTATTTCCACAAATGCTATTTTGGATATTTTATAAGTCCACAGATTCATTTAATTATTATTTGGTTAACCTTTATAAATTATGTCCTGTCCACAAAACAAAATTATATTTATGTCTGCCCACAAAAACTGACTCCACAGTCACATCACAATAATTCCACAGCATTATACAATTAAAAAAAAAAAGATATAAAAATATCTTAGACAAATATAAATGTATGTGTATTAGGGAATCGTCAATAATTAGTGAAATATTTGGAAAAAATTTTCTTGACTAAAAATCTAACTCAAGATTATAACATGAAAAAATTCGTTAGGTGTAACACCTTCAGAAGACAGTTTCTGACTGGATACTTTGGATAACAGTTTGAGACTGTGAGTGAGAATTGTTGTGATGTGTGTAACAAACAAAATACAAACAGTATAGAAACATTAAACCTTTGTTTTATGTCAGATATATGCAATAGTAGGCCAGAGCACATGCTAATTGTTGATAGAATTATGATAAAAAATCTGGGGTGCTTTTACTATATTAAATAAGGAGCGACATATAAAACATTGTATATCCTAACATAGATCATTCATATATATATTAGACTAGACAATAAAATTTTGATGTCGGTCCACGACAAAGGAAATATTGGGGGTCAATTTTGACTACCTCCACGTTCTTAAAATGTAAACATTTTTTAATCCAGTGATAACAGTGTAAATTTACGCAAAATAAATCAACTGAATAAAAAAATAAATAGAAAACAACTTTGGTTAACAGTAAGCATTGATGGAATAAGTTGTCATGATGTAAAACAAATAGATATGAGCAATTATTTCTCGAAATGGTTACTTACTTTGTCCGCCATTTTGAAATTGCGCAACGTCTAACAGTGAATCAACCGATGCCTGACCTCAATGTAGAGAGTGCGCGAACGGAATTGTGGGAAGGGGACCAGACTAGAAAACAAGTTGTTCTAGGTTGATGTCGATTTTAGAACTTATATGACGTCACCTATTTCGATAGTATCCTAATATTTCGAAAAGGCTAACAATTACTCCTTTTAACAATAAATCGGAAACCCTTTTTTCCGAATTCTTCTCCCAAAATTGCTAAATTAGCATCAGTTGTAAAGAGTGTTAAAAAAACCCAAAAGATTGAAAATTTTGCCATTTAGAGAGGTAGACCTAAGATTCTATTTTTCTATTTATCTATTCAAATCACGCCCTTTTCTCATAATGAAAAAAAAATCATTCTAAAACCCTATCTAAAAGAAATAAAATTTTGAATGTTATGGTTTGTTTGTTGTTAACTCACCTGAGCCGAAGGCTCGATTCAAGTGAGCTTTTCTGATCAAAATCTGCCCGGTCCGTTGTCTGTCGTTGTTGTCGTAGTAAACTTTTCATATTCTCATCTTCTTCTCAAGAACCCCTCCCCCAACAAGTAAACTTTTCAATACTGAGCTGATTTGCAGCTATGAACGGTCAAAAAATTTTGTTTTTGTATCATTTTGCATCTTATTAACAATTTATCATGAGTGAAATGCACTGTTTGGACATTATTCATGTTATTAGCTTGATTTTTTTTTAAAAAGAAAAAGCTTATAAAATCTTGTCACGAATTATGTGAAAATTATGGAATTCCATATACGACAGCCAACTGCTTACTGCCATCTGCCACATATATTTGAATAAATTTTCATATCTATATTGATAATTATGTGAATTGTCAATAAACCAGGCGCGGATCCAGGATCCCCCCCCCCCCGGGAGGGGGGTGGGTTCTACCCCAGTAAAAAAAATCCAACCCAGAAATTTCTGGACAAGATGAAAAACGTAAACTGCTTTCATAACACTATTTCGGGGGGGGGGGGGGGGCTTCTTATTTACAACTCCTTTAATAAGGGGGTATTTTTTTATTTTATAAGGGGGTAAACTTTCTCTATAGAAATCAGGATGAACACATCATCAGATTTTCATATACTCATGAAAATGGATTTAAACGACTCCTTAATCTCAACATATGTTTTAATTTATGTTATATTCAACATATGAGATTGATAAAGTATATTTTTTATTTGTTATCCTTTTTGAAATTGGTTTTAAAATGACTATTTTCCTTTTTTAATTTTTAACACACCCCTCCCATATGAGACAACAAAACCTTTTAAAAGAATAAAAACTGAAAAAGGGATTTGTCGTTGTTTCGTGGGGGGGGGGGGTGAAAATAAATTTCAAATTTCTGTAAATTTCTATAGTAAATACTTCTCAAATAAAAGATTTATATCTCTTTCTTTTTCCAAATAAGTTGTGTTTTACATGCAGCACAGATCTAGAGACCAAAGGGGGGGGGCGTCCGGACTACCCTTCTCTGTAATTGTGTAAAGTTATTTAATGTACAAACTAAAGCAATTAAAAGGGCCCTGGGAACCCCCCCCTCCAAAAATGCGGATCCGTGTTAAGTTGCTATGAAAAATATTATAGATATGAAGCATAAGAAGCCCCGCCCCCGTCCGTTTTTCACGTTTAGGAAAGGAGTTTACGGGGTTTTTTTCTTGTCAAGAAATGACATTTCTGGGTTGTATTTCTTTTTTACCAGGGTGACCCTCTTGGAAAAATTCCTGGATCTGCGCCTTTTTTTTTTTTTTTTTTTTTTTTTTTTAGTAAATTCACATAAATATCAATATAAATATAAAATATAAAATATATTCAAATACTAGTATGTGTCGCAGTTGGCAGTAATTAGTCAGCAGTTGGCAGTAAGCAGTTGGCTGTCGTATATGGAATTCAATAGAAAAATGATGTGTAATTTTTTTTTCTTTTTTAATACATTTTATCAGCATTTTCTTTTTGTAGCTAACAATCACGTTTGTTAATCAACTTTCATTATCGTTACCCTGCCGTTAAGGTGATGATTTGTTTGTACTCTATAGGATAATACAGGTTATAACTTTTTTTACCCCGGGTACTCTAATATTTCTTAGATTTTTCCCTTTACGGATCCGGAGGGATTATTGTCTGGTTTCCGGCTAGATGAAATATTCAAATTATATTTGCCTAGATTTCTTATATATTTAGATAGAAGTGGTTTTATTTATAAGATACATTTTTCTTTACTTCTCAAGTTCTCATTTTGGTACAGTTTGAAAAGGAAATGGTAAACACAGTTTGAAATCAAGCAGGGACTACATTTTTGGCAGACTGATGAAATTATCTGCTTTTTTGCTTCTCAAAATTCCTACTTATCAACGAATTCCGTGTCTAATTCTAATCAATCGAAGACTTAAAGAAAATACCTATCAAATTTTAGTTATTGCCCCCTAACATGGCATTTTTGTACTGAGCAGAACACTCGTACACTTTTTAGAAAAAAAAAATTCAGGAAAGAGCGTTAAGATTTATCATTGAAGTCAAGATTATAAAAGTTCTTATTGCTTATGAAAGTCTTTTAAATAAATCTAAACTACTATCTCTGAAAACCAGAAGAAATCGTGCCATTGCTCTAGAAACTTATAAAATTATCCAAAGTTTCAGTCCAGTCTTTTTGCAAGATCTGGTTGTTTTTAAAAATAATTCGTACAATTTTACATATACATGTACAAATACTGCAGAGGTCCCAAGACCAAAGAACAACAAGGTATGGGATGAAATTATTTAGGTATGAGGC